CCTCGTATGTTTGTTGTTTCCCCGATAGCACGAAACATTCATTAAATATTTAATCAATATTTAATAATATTTTTATCTTAAATATTTGTTTTCTTCAACAAATATTTAATAAATATATAATATTTTTTATTAAATATTCATTCAATATCTTTTAAATATTGTAAATACAATATTTCTTTTATATTACTCATCAAAATATTTAATTTTCAATCAATGGAAAATATTAAATCTCCAATATTTAGAAAATATTAATTAAATAGTTTCTGCCACGGCGCATGTGCGTGTGACCCGGAGCGACCAATGGCATAATAGAAAGCCGGCCTGGGCCGACCCGTTTGCGCGTTTGCCGGCATCCATTTTGCCTGTGACTTTCACTATGATAGCGTCCTTCCTGTGTTCCTCCAAGGTGTATATTATTTGAGTGCTTTTTTGTGGAAAAAGGAAAAGGGTAAGTTTTTCGATAATTACATTGGCTAATTTATATGTCTAGTACACATGATTGCGCCATTTGAGTATATAGGTATTCGCAAGACCCTAAATAACTAGCCTCGAAGTGTAACAGTTATTTGGTATTGGTGGAACGTGATCGAGACACATCAAAAATGTTTTTTTCAAATATCTCAATTATTATTATTTTTGTCGTAGTGTAGGGGGCAGATCAGCTGTAACTATTTTAAAATTTTTAAGTTCAACAGTGAAAATACAATATTTTTTTTATATAATATAAAATCACAAAATAGTTATGACTAAATTAGCCCTCTTACTAAAAAAAGTCACATTTCAACAAAATTAATAAGTGGTATATTTTCAAAAACCTTTTCTTTAAAAGTTTGTCAAAGGATCAAGTTGTGCCCATGGACATTTTTCATCAAGATATTTGAAATAACATACCAAATTTTCTTAAAAATTAACCAAATCTCGAGCTATTATAGGCAGAAAATTTGGGGTCCTTTTAGGTGCATTATCGAGCTGCTTTTCAGTGACCCAGTTGAGCTATTCGGAGTAACTCGGCATGCTCAGCACTAGTATTGTTTCACTGCATTTTGTATTCCCATAAAGCAGCTTATGTATTCAATAATACTTCATAATTAGTAAGTATGTTTTTTTTTCAGAGAAGTGGACTTGCAAGATGCAGAAGGAGCTTCCAATGTTTTTTTAATAATATTTTTCTATCAAATTAAACCATTATATCTATAATGAATTTTCTTTATAAACCCAATTTTATATAAGCATTCCTCAAGTCAGTCAAGTCATCGTTGGTTGTCAGAGCGGTCCGTGGGACCTTAGCTCTTGAGTCACAGTGTCAGTTTGTAAGTCTGTCAGGTCTGGTAACCCAGAAACCAGACAATTTTAAGGAAAAAAGGGGAAGGAAACGAGAGAAGGAAGAACGAGAGCAAAGGGGAAGAAGAGAATCTTTTAGGATAGGCAGCGTTTAGGCATTGTTAAAATCGCTTCACAGATTTTGATATGGTCTAAAATTATTTGATTTTTTCTAAAGATTGTGTAAAAATGCTCCAATTTTGGTTGTTCTAAGTTCACGAGTTAATTTTGATTACAGTGCGAGCCGCGGCCTTTTGTGCTTGCGAACTTGCTCGACTGTGTAGTCCACTGACTCACGCAACAGAGGGTTGCTGTGCGATTCCGCTAGGCTATAGCGCCGCTGCGCCTGTTGCTTAATGTAGTCCTTTAGGTAAGGGGCATCGAGGTCTCTATGTAGAGTTTCGTTAGAGACATACCATGGGGCATCAGCAATAGTGCGCAACGTCCTGCTTTGCAGAACCTGCAGACTTCGCATGTGTGTTTTAACAATAAAACACCAAGCCGCACATGCGTAAGTCATTGCTGGTCTTATGACCACCTTATAGAGTCGAATCTTGTTAATCAAACTTAATTTTGACCGTTTACATAATAATGGGTAAAGCTGCCGAAACGTAATTTGGAATTTAGTTTTTAGAGCTTCCATATGGTTCCGCCAAGTCATCCCTTTGTCCAGAATGACACCGAGATACTTAGCGGAGGATTCCCATGGTATACGAAGTCCATTCATTGAAACTTCAGACGGAACGCCGCGACGTCTTTTTGTACAGTAGATTGCCTGCGTTTTCGAATGGTTTATTTTAATTAGCCACCGATCCGCCCAATCCAATACTTCTTCCACCGCACTTTGCAGCCTGTCATGGACTAGGTCACCAGACCACGACTGAGCCACCAATGCAGTATCGTCAGCATAGAAATAGACTTCACAGTTGCTGGGACTAGGGACGTCATGGATGTACAGTGAGTAAAGGATAGGTCCAAGGACCGAACCCTGAGGGACGCCGGCTGTAATCAGCCATGTTGTCGACAGCACATTGTCAATTTTGATCCGAAATTTCCTACCTTCAAGGAAGGATTTCAGTAGTTTTAGAAGCCAAAAAGGGAAGCCCTTTTGGATTAGTTTATACAAGAGGCCCGCGTGCCACATCTTTTCAAATACTTTTGAGACATCCAAAAGCAAAATGCCAGTACTTTCGTTAAGGGTGAATCCTCTGGTTACACGTTCCACCAGCCTAACCGCCTGTAGCTCCGTACTATGTTCAGACCGAAAACCGAATTGCACGTCAGGAATCACATGGTGATCTGACGAGAAATTCTCAAGGTGACGTAGAATCACCTTTTCAGCGAGCTTAGACGCAGCTGACAGCAGGCTAATGGGACGATAATCCTGGGGAAATATCGAACCCACCTTCTTTGGAATCATTATAACTTCAGCGGTCTTCCACGCGAATGGGAAGTACTGGATCCTTAGCATGGCATTGACTATTGCCACGAGATAAGTTAAGGACTTCCGCGAAAGCAGCTTCAGCGCCTTATTAGTGATTTGATCCTCCCCAGGTGCTTTACGCACTTTAAGGTCTTTAATATGACCTTGAATCTCTGCTGGTGTGCAATGCGGGATCTCAGGAGATACCGCTGATGTGCTAAGCAAATCTTCGGTTGAAGAAGCTTCTGAAGAAGAATCTTCTGATGAAGAAAAATCACCAACGAATGCGCGACTGTCACTGACGCCGTTGGCCCTAAAATATCTCCTGACAGATGTTACGATGTATTGCTCCTCGTCGAGGTCATTATCAAGATCATAGTTGGGAGAGAACTGTCTTTCCATGGTATCGGCGAAAACCTCAACCTTCTCCTCTGTCCTGAAGACAATGCCTCCAGGACCGTGAATGTGTGGGATTTGTTCACGCTTTCCGTTTTTGAGCGACTTCGCCACCTTCCAGAGAGGAATGCTTGAGTCAAGCATCCCCGCCAGAAAGTCGTTCCATTGCTCATTGCGGAATTCAAGAAGAGCATTTCTTACTTCATGAACAAGATTCGTCGCTCTGCGAATGTCATCAGGATGACAAGACCTTTTCGCTTGCTTAATTGCAGCTCTTTTATCAGAAATTTTCTGACGAATGTCTGCTGGCAGAAAAGGTCTGCCGTGTCGCTGCACGGGAAGTACAGCTGCACGCTGCAGGGTTTGCTGAACAAAACTTGTCCACTCTGCTTGAGCCGTATCTATACCGTTCTCATCATCTATGATCGGTATATTGGGGAACTCTTTGAGTAGCGACTTGTATAGCTCCCAATCAATGCGTTTCCTTGGAGGGATTTCATCCCCCAAGATCTGCTCATTAGCCACTTCCAAAACGATGGGAAGATGATCGCTTGAGATGTCATACATGATTCGAGAAGTGATACTGTAGCTACAGTTTCTGGATAATGCCAAATCAAGAACATCAGGTACCTGAAGGTGATTAAATGGGTGGTGCGTCGGCTCCTCAGTACTATGTATGAGGTAGCCATTTCGTATCACATGGTTGTACAGTCGGATCCCACTGGTGGAATTCAACCTGGAATGCCATGCTCGATGTTTGCATTTGAAGTCCCCTGCCACAATAAGTGGACCCGAGTAGTCTAAAAGGACTTCCAGATCCGCCTCTTGCAGCCTGTTACCACACCTGACATACACCGATGTGATTTTTAACGGCACACCTCCCGTCATATTGACCACCACGGAAGCCGCTTCGATGCTCTGCATGTCAGCGTTTGTGCTTCTGTGGTAGTCAATACCGCGTTTCACTAGCACTGCCAAGCCGCCACCCCGTCCAGTCAATCTATCAGCCCGGATAACATCGTAATTCGGGAAAGCTAGACGATCTCCCGGATTAAGTAATGTTTCCTGCAGCAAGGCCACATCTATACTTTCGTCCACAAGAGCTTGATGAAATTCCCGCCTTTTGGGAATGTCCCTTAGACCCAAACAATTCCAAAAAAGAATTTTGATAAATGAAGGCTGTCGTCGATTGTACCTAGCCATTTGCAGGAAAGATCGCCTGCAAAGCCTGTGTTGCGCTAATCAGAGGACCTATGATCTGCTGTAAGGACCTTAGCGCGGTTGCCAGGTCCACATTTTGCGTGTTCGCAGAAGATCCCACAGAGGGGGCAGCCCGGGTTGCATCCCTAGCTGCATCCGCGTAACTTACATTGCGCCTTTGCGCTATCACTTGCTGATTTTTCTTAGGGGCAAATCTGCAAGTTCGGCTATTCGCTGGATGCCCCCCTCCACAGTTCGCGCACTTTCGTTCCTCTTGTTCTGTTTGAGGGCATAAGTGGGTCATGTGGTCAGAAGCACATTTTAGACATTTAGGTGGTGCAGTGCAGTAAGATTGCGCATGCCCATATTTTTGACAGCGGTGACACTGCCCGATGAGTCTTGAGTTCTTTTGAACTTCGACTCGGATAGCCAAACCTAGCAGCTCGTGTTCGTTGAACAGCTGCTGAGATTTTTCTATCTTGGGCAGTATGACTACCACCAAAGGCATGGGCACGCCACCACCGCGTTTCAGGCGAATTATGTGCAGGGGGGAATATCCCCTCTGTTGCAACTCTTCCTTGATCTCAATTTCCGAAAGTGTCGCATGTACTCCTCTGATTACAGCATGAATGTTCCTCTCGGAGGGTAGAGGGAAAGTGTGATGGGGCACCTCTTCCTCCCTGAAGAGACGAATAATCCTGCGGTAATCATCCTCGGACTTGGGAATTATCCTGATTCCTGCATCGACGGCAACCGCGCGTTCGAATTTGATGCCCAAAGAAATAAACTTGTGATTTACGCCTCGCCATCTCGAAGCATCGCGAAGAACGATAGGGGTAACACGTACCTTGCGTGGGGGCTGTGCAGTCGTGTCTTCTGGTACCTGAGATGTCGAAGGCGTGGAAGTAACCGATAGATTAGGCACAGGCTGTTTATTCGAGTCGCTTGCAGTTGAATGAGACGTTTCAGACTGCGATTTTGGTGGAGGGAGAGGAGGAAAGCCTGTCGTGTCGGTCTTGTTTCGTCGGGTTTTACGGGGCTTAACCTTGGTAAAACCGTCAGGGAGTGTATCGTCGTCTGTGGAAAGATCGCTTGAATTATTTAACGGTCTCTTAAGATTGACAGCTTTGTCTTTACTGGGATTTTTGGGAAGTGTTTGGGAAGAATTTGTAATATTTAGATGGGAAGGTACCTGGGTTTTCAGTAGGAGGTCTAATTTAACTGTTAGGTCGGTAATTGTCCGCTGCTGGGCTTCGATGATCATCATCAATCTTTCATTGGTCTTCCTATAATCGTCCTTTTTTTACAGCTCCTGTCGAACCATCTCCAATTCGGCTCTCAGCTCCTCTATGGTCTGCTCCTTCGACTCCATCTCCATTGCCATGGTGGAAGCGCCATTTCCTGACCCCCCTGGGTCAGTTTCCATAGTAAATACCTCGGTTATCTCGCTTTTCGTCTAAAAAATTTTCCGGATCGAAATTACGGGACAGCTGCTATCAGTGCCCTATACAGGGCGATATGATAAGCATTCCTACAGATTTTGCTAAAATAATCAATGAAAAATTTTCTATGTACACTAAAAATGTATAGGGTAGGCTGGTCCACTAGGAGTCATGGGCAACGATGAGTCATCTTTATATTTCCAGTCGTTTACGCGATAGCCATCTATCGGTCGCATTCTATACTATTCTGTATGCGCATGACCTGAATATACATTTTTTCGCACCGCTGGATCAGTCGTCTTCTATATTTTATGGGAAGTGCACGTGGCGAGGTCGATTTTTTTTTCATGTATTGTTTTGATAAGTTTTTTTTTGAGTGATCTATAAACCCTAAAGGTAAGACAGTTATAAGCATTTATAAATTGACCCTTTAGCTAATTTTTAAATATAACTCTCAAGAGACAACTTTAGTTTTACTGTGTAATAATAATATTTTTCCCTAAATATACAAATGGGCCACAATAAGACATTTTTTTGGGGCCACCATGAGACACTGTCTCACGGCCCAGAATTTAGTAGTGTATAACCTAGTGTGTACTACTGCTAGCATATTATTTTACCTTTGCAGATGTCAAGAGGACGAACAAGAAAGAGCCAAAAAGGAACCTTTAAAGAAGAAAATATGAAAAGAGCGGTTTAGCAAGTTTTAGTAGGAATAAATGTGCTTAAGTTGCCTCTTCGGAAAGCTGCAGAAGAAAACAATCTATCGTTTCAAACGTTGCTAAGGTATGTTAAAAAAGAACAAAATAAAGCCAATCCCAATGACGTTGTTTCCATGAAAAGCAATTATAAGCATCGCCTGGTTTTTAATGAAGAGGAAAACTACAAAAGATACCCGTGTTTTGGCATATGAGATGAGCCAAATTAATAAAAAAAACATTCCGTTATCTTGGGATAAGAATAAATCTGCTGGTATCGACTGGTTACAGGGTTTTTTAAAAAGACATGCAAGAGAATTAAGCATACGTCAACCAGAAGGATGTAGTCTTTCAAGAGCAACTGCGTTTAACAAACACAATGTAAATTTATTTTTTGGCAACCTTGAAAAAGCGTATAGTCGGTCAGAGAAGTTTTCTGATGGTACACGGATTTATAACCTAGACGAAACTGGAACAACAACTGTTCAAAAACCAAAAAAAAAGTCCTGTCGTCGAAAGGTATCAAACAAGTAAGTCAATGTACTAGTGGAGAACGAGGAGTTTTGATTACATGTTGCATAATAAGTGCTACTGGTAATACACTGCCCCCAATAACGGTGTTCCCCAGAAAAAAAGTTTAAAAATCATATGTTAAACGGGGCACCGGCCGGAACATTAGGACTGGCTTCTACTTCAGGTTGGATGAACTCAGAATTATTTCCATCTGTTATGGAAAATTATGTTAGATATAGTGGGTCGTCCAAAAAAAATCCCACTATTTTAATCATGGACAATCATGAGAGCCACCTTGGGATTAAAACTCTGAATTTGGCTAAGGACAATGGAGTCTTTCCAGTCACTCTTCCACCACATTGTAGTCATAGACTGCAGCCACTAGACATATCAGTATTTCCGCCATTTAAGGCGAATTATAATGCTGCAGTTGACTCTTGGCATTTGCATCAACCGGGTAATCCGTTATCCATTTACGAAATTGCTGCTTGTGTTGGAATAGCATTCGAACGGTCTATGACTCCGTCCAATATAAAATCAGGCTTCAAGAAGGCCGGAATTTACCGTTTCGACAGAAATGTCTTTACGGACGACGATTTCTTGTGTGAATTTTTAAATATTAACAATTTTCCACCGTGGATGAAAATACTTCATCAACATCATCTAAAGTAGCTCAGACAGTTACCAATGATACAGTTAATGATCAGTCACCAAAATTGAAATTGATTATAAGCCCAGAAATATTTAAGGGATACCCAAAAGCAGGAATGAGAAAGGTTTCTAATAGTCAGCGTACAAAAATTACCAGCTGCATTCCCACTGATACTCCTGAGAAAGATATGTTTTAAAAAAAAATACCAGGAAAACATTGAAAATGACAAATTAGAAAGAAAACACAAGGATGACAAACAAAGAGCTGCCACCCGGAATTTATTTGCAAAAAAAAAGAAGGTTGATTTCAATGATATATCTTCGTCTGAGGAAGATGGAAGTTTACCTTTTGCCGACTCTGACCAGGATTCAACAGACTGGATTCCCGAGGCTGATCCTTCAGCATTTGAAGAACTGGATCGAAATCCCAAACCTGACGACTTTTTTTTAGTGTCATTTAGTGCCAAAAAATGATAATATATTCTATGTTGGAAAAGTGATAAATCTGGAAAGTTCCAGCAATGAAGTAGAAGTAAAGTTTTTGCGGAAGTCGGTAAAAGTCAGCGGACACGTATATCCTTTGGAACCTGATGTAGGAATGGTTCCTCTAAATGACGTTAAAATGATTTTACCACCACTATCTCATTTGGGTAACACAAAACGTTAGAGGAATATATAAAATTCGAAATTCAGTTTAGCAATACAAATTTACGCAAAATTTTTTTTTTACCAAGAAAAATAAATGGTTGTTTGATTTTTGGCATATTTTACATTGACAAATCTTATATTTTTGTGTTTTTTTGTTTAACTACATATTTTTAGTTGTCAAAACCACCGTTTAATAAAGTTTTGTACCAAACATGTTGTTTTTTTCATATATGTCTTATGTCTTATAGTGGCCCTCTTTTCTGGGCCTCCATGATACATTATTAAAAAAAAGAATGTTGTAAAATTCACTCGCAAAACTATTAATTTAAAACTTTTTTTATGTTTTGTTTTAAGATTAACATGATTATAAATATCATTCTTTAAAACCTAACATTTACACAAAACTATTTTTTTTAATTTTAAAAAACTTTTTCCGTCTCATGGTGGCCCACCCTATCATATTAATGCTTATTTACGAAAAATATTAGATATTTCATCAAAATATAAAATTGATATTTAAAAATCTTTCCTCATATATTTTCTAAATACAGGGTGTTTCAGAACTATGGGATCAAACTTGTAGGGGTTATTCAGTGTAACAGTATAAAACATTTGAGTATAGGGACCCATATCCGGAAAAGTGTCACTAAGGCACTAAGGCCCTAAGACGCGTTAAAATTTAGAAAGACATGATGTCATCACAACAATTGTTCAAAATGTCTTCCTCCAACCTGAATACACAGTTCCTGCGGGGGCATGTAAAGTCTTCGGCTTACGAAACTCAAGTAGAAACAGAGCAAGACTTAATTAGACGAATTACAGCAGCATTTGAAATCATTCAAAACGAGTATCAAATTTTTAGTCAAGTCCGCCGAAATCATGTGCGACGTTTAAATCGGTATTTGGAAAAAATATCGCAAAAATATATGAATTATATATACTAAAAGTATCTATAATGAATATTTTATAAATATATAAGAAATCTATTTATTAAATATTAAAAAATCTGTCGCTACAAATATTTAAGAAACATTTTTTAAAAATATTTAATAAGTTTTTAATGCTATCGGTGTTATATTGAAAATGCAATGGATTGAGAATATCGCTGCAGCTAAGAAAGCCTGCAGAAAGAAGATATTTTTCCGTTTACTTCTACCAGTACATTTTAAAGCGTTTCCATAAATACATAGTCATTAATGCTTGGTCGCTTTTTTTGTACAAACATACATTATTATTGGTACACCCAAACTACACTAGGTAATATAATATAATTTTACGATTGCAAAGACTACCTGTAGCCGCTAGCAGGGTACGTGGCAACACCGGCTGCTGCTGAGCACTAAAACCTCTTTCATCGTTGTATTAGGGGAGTTACATGCGACTTTCTCCGCCGAAATGGCGGCCGTTTTTGACACTGACAGGAGTTCATAGCTGCTTGTTAACTAAGCCTGTGTCTAAGCTGTGTTATTTTTTTAAACAAATTGAAAATTGTAGAAAATGGAGAGGGACCGGGGAATGGGTCTGCTCCAGATGCTGGATGAAGAAATTATAGAGGAGGATCCACTGGCTTATAGGTCTAGTTGGTTATAAAGTCATTCTGATTTTATCCAATGCAGATTATATGGCGTTTCTGCTTTTATAGGACTTGCTTTTTACAGCATTTAAGCAATCATATTTCTCATACTCCTTGAGTAGTAAGTCACGCTGCTTTTTTTAATATCACATCTTCTAAGTTTTCAATCTACAAATAGAACAGCATACCTCGTAAGCAGGGGAGTTTCGCGAATCTGATGAACACGTTGTGTTCTGATCACAACAACTGGTGCGAGTGATTAAGGTTGGGTTTGTTTTTGTCAACCAATTATCACCCATCTAATCATTACAAAACATCATGACAATATCAATATCAAAATATGTAATTTCTTGTCATGCAGCGCTTCTATGAGTCAATGCGTAGTAGGCGTCTGCGCACTCAATTTGTTCATACAAAATTGTGTTCTAAATGGTGTCTGTCACCATCCTTAATTATATACGAAATTTAGCGTACTAAGTTCAGCACAAAATTTCGTATCATGACAGACGGCCTTTAGGAGTCTATAAATATAATCATTGAATTGAACTTTTACTTCAGTTTCTTTTTCGGAATACTCAATCCCCCTTTAGTTTTATCGCTCCCTCTAAGATGCCTCACAGGTTGAGAATTACTACTGTCATAAAGGTCGTTTTCGTTGCAACCTGCCATTTTCAAAGTGATTGTTAAAAAAATCCTGAAAATAAAACTTTCATTTAAACCAAGCGACGTTTGTATTTAACATTATTTTGTGTACCCATTGGATGCTGTTGGTCACCCTGTACACAACTCTTTCGCCTCAAATTGCAGTAAAACTCACCGAAAAGGAATATATCAGTTTATTTACAAAATAAATAGGATTTAAACTGCTAATTAATCCTTATTAATGACCTATTTACATTAAAATAAATTAACATTGATAAATATATCTTCTCAAAACAGACTTGGTGTTGTTGGAGCACCACTAATTGCCTCGGCGCTGCTTGACGGTACAATTTCAGGTGCTTGCAGGCAACATCTTTTATCTCCTATGCCACCTTGTTTTGTTGGACAAAATGGCGGATATTTATCTTGGTAGCAAAATGAACCAGATGCCCTAAAATATACATGAAAATAGAACTTCTCCTACAAACTAAAGTTAAAACATATTTCTTACGATAGTGGTGTTCCTTGACCCATAATGACAGGTATTCCCATCCTGTTTCCTGGTCTAGGTCCTGAGGGACACCGTCTAGAGCAGGGTTCTGCCTTCTTAGTCAGTTCTGGAAAAAGACTCTCAGCCATATAGCAAATTGCCCAGACGTGACTGCATAATTGTATGTCAACTGAAAGAAACTATAACTCTGAGGTTTGCCATGGTGATTCTAGTTGAAGAAAAATATTACGTATCTTCTGTTGGAAGAGGAATAATCAACCAAAGTTACAACACTGAGCCCCTAGCCCAATAAACTAGAGCTTACACCACGAACCGTAACTCAGATGACGAGTTTCATTCGCGAAGCCCGCAAATCTCCTTTACGCCTTCCGAGCTGTGATAGAGTTTGCATACGCTCTTACAGACCTTTAAACTGACCTTACAGACCTATACTTAGCAATAAAAAGTTTTTTCGATTTTTATAGGAGTTTATTTTAAGACAACGGACGTGGCTCATCAAATACAAAACCTACAGACCCTCGATAAACAAATTGGTAGTCGTCTTTTCGTTAATTCAAAGCAATACTGTGCAGTGTGTTAATAAAGTACCTGATCAAAATTCAGGGTGTGATTTCTTGGATTATGAAGAAAGTAAGTTCATATAAACATAGGTCTGATAATGTTTTGTTTCCAAATTTTTTAATAACTTTCAGGTTATGCTTTATTGGAATTAATTAGGCGCAGACATTTCGGAGAAATTTTTGACTATTTGGTTAATCCAAATGAAGAAAATGCGTCAGTGAATCACGAAACACCCCAAAAAGCAAACTACATTTAACGGACTTCAAGCAGGCGATCTAGATAGTCATGGCAATTTGTGCTTTTTCTTAATGATTTTGATTAAATTTCCAGCGATGTTTGTATCTACTAAATCTCAAAAAATTGGTGGAATAAGTAATCAACGAATCAAGATACCATATACCTCTATTAAAATAAGCACTAGAGAAGCCAAAAAGGGATTGAAGATCCCTTCGCCATTTTTTTGACAGCATCAGAATCAAATATCACAACTTAGATAACAATCAGCTATGAAACTCTCCTGTCACTGTCGAAAACGACCGCCATTTCAGCAGAGAATGTCGAATGTAAATTCCCCCACTACAACAATGAAAAACGCTCTAACATGCTCCGCTGTTCGATTTTCGTCCGCCGGCGCGCATGACGTCACGCGGAGAGTGATGATCATTTCGGTTGATATGGATAACGTGCATATTTTCACCTACAGGCCAAACGGCTGGACGGATTTTCACATATGAGGGGTCGTTGTATTCGTCTTAGCAGTGCGAGTGACATTAGCTACATTGAAATTTTATAAAAAACAAAATGGTGGATTGTAATAAAAGATTTCAACCTTGTAATTCCTACTTCACAGGCTACAGATCAAACGGCTTGATAGATTTTCACATATGAGGTGTCGTTGGATTCGTCTTAGCGGTGCGAGTGACACTAGCTATATTAAAATTTTATACAAAACAAAATGGTGGATTTTAATAAAAGATTTCAACCTTGTAATTCCTACTTCATTGGCTACAGATCAAACGGCTTGATAGATTTTCATATATACATTAAAATTTTGTACAAAACAAAATGGTGCGTTTTAATAAAATATTTCAACCCTGTAATTCCTATTTCACAGGCTATAGCTTAAACGGCTTCTAGCTCCACAATAGAGCGCATCGTCTCTTCACTGTAAAAACAAGATGACTCCATTTTTCCACATTACCTATATTTTAGTATGTTCTGTGGAGCAGGATTAACATGTTCATGTCATAATACTATACTACACTTACTTATTCCACAGAACATCCTAAGTACATGTAAGTGTGAAAATGTACGCAACTCGAAAAGTAGAAAAATGGAGGTATCTTCTTTTTGCAGTAAGGTGGTGGTATAACAATAAATGGAAATGACTTGGTCTAAGCAACAATTTTTTTCCATTTCCTTTTACGATTTTTTGATCCGGAAGAACATCCTTGACCTGAAAAACAGTTTTTTAGCTTTTTCATGGCAGTCAATGTTGCTGCTCTTCAACAGAAGTTCACCTATAAAATTTTGCTTTTTTGTCACTATTCAGTCCCCATTGAATGTAGTGAATACCTTGTTCAGCTTCTCAATTTGATTCATGAAAGTTGCGGTTTTGATAATCCACCCCCACTAAGATGGTCTATCCATGAATAAGTTTCATTTGAGGAACTTTTCAACCTCTCATCCTGCAATTTATTGCAAACAAAGCCGGCCAAATTTTCCAGCCCGTCATACTTGAGCTCATATATTTCTTCCACTAAAACTTGCTCGGTATAGTCAGCTGATACTTCAGGTGCATTCAGTTTATTCTCGTCAATTATGCGGCTAGTGGTTAGTGGAATGTCTGGAGTATCCTCTGACTCTACGCTGCAATAGGTACTCTGAGTATGCGCCTTCGTTTCACCCCAACATATATGAAATTATTCTATACTCAAACTCTAGAGGACTTGTATGTATCGACCATCTCTTGCCCTAGTTACTTCGAAAAAGTTTTCTATCACATCTTGATTAAGACGCCTTATTAACAGGTATTGGACGCTGGAGCGTCGTTTCAGATCGTCTAGAGCATTTTCTAGCAAACCTTAGCGCTTTTTACATTCACTTTGTCTTATATTTTTGTGAGATGTCGCCATTTTTTTGCTAAAGTTTGGATCTTGAGGAAAACTGTGGAACTTCATATCTTTGCAAAGATTCCGTTTAGATTGATTGTCGGAATTACATCCCACAACAGCACATCGCATTTTTATCAATTAATCAACCACACAGGGTATATAAGGTATGTATAACTAATACAACAAGTCACAAAACCACCAAAAAACACCAACAAATCGCACTTTATAGTATTAACCACGATACACGTTAAACTGCAGTAACGTTACGACAATCCTGCCGCTGGTAACCACGAGCCGATAACTCTGCGGGTGACGTCACGAAGCTCCGCCCACATGCGCAATATCATATCTTCAATGTATGTGTATCGTGGCGTTTGGTACTGAGTAGTCCTAAACTCTGGGCGCTGAAGAAAGACATTAAACGTAAACAGTGATCAGCACGTGAACAGATCCCTCGAAAGCATCCACGGATATACTCCAGTCACTTTAGGTCTAAACATCCTCGGCAGTGTATTTCTAGTGAATCCACAGACCCTTTTTCGTGTCATCTTGAGACTAGAAAAAGGATGACTGTTAAAATAAGTTACCATGATCTTTCATGAGCTCCCAGTACAAAACATCATCGATATATTTTTGATGTAGGAACAACAAATTGGTTTAGAAAACATCCACTTTGAACCTAAATTGACTGGAGTAACATCGATCTACAGACACATTCAAGGTCACTAGCAGTCGTCGGCGCTCTACGAATCTGCACAGGTTTGGACTTGTAAACGTGATTGTAGATGACACGACAGGCATCTAACAGTTAATTCACGCACAGGATTGCATTGCATACGCATTACGCATTCAGTAGCGTATACTCGTTTTTCGCGAGTGGAACGTTTTGTTTATATATTGCCTAAGATACGATGTCTGACACAGATACAGCCGACGAAGTGGTTGACATCAGCGCAACCCCACCCAAAAAAAGGGCTAAGAAGCTACATTTAAGTGCAAATGAAAAACAAATAATATTAAATATATACAAAAACCAAATTCAAGAAAAACCCGATTTGGTCGTGGACGAAGTTATATGTAAGGTAGCACATATTTCTGGAGTATGTCGGTCCAGTGTTTATAGGATCATTAAGGAATATAGGAGCACTCACTCACTTTCTGAGCCAAAACCGTATCCTGCAAGAAAAAGGATAACGGACGGAGTAGATGACTTTGACAGAACTGCCATCAGGAGGAAAGTGCATAATTTTTTCTTCCGAAATGAGATACCTACAGTAGATGAGATATTAAGATTAGTTAATGCTGATGAGGATCTTCCATCATTTAAAAGAACCACATTCCGAAAACTTTTGAAGGAACTTAATTTTCGATTCTTGAAACGGGGAAGAAACAGTATGTTAATAGAGAAAGAAGAAATTGTTGTGTGGAGAAGGGAATACCTTAGGAAGATTCGGAAGTTTCGCGATGAATAAAGAAAAATTTACTATTTGGACGAAACGTGGGTGAATGCTGGACATACTCAAGCGAAAGTTTGGGTCGACAAATCAGTAACATCATCAAGGCAGGCTTTTCTAGACGGTCTTTCGGCTGGATTGAAAAATCCTGCAGGTAAGCTCCTTCATCTATCCGGCAATTTAATTTTGATAAATTCGGGCAAATAATATGCTGTGATAGCAGATAATGTGTGATATTTTCCAAAAATGGTGCATTCGCAGTGTAGTCATTAGGAAAAAAACTTCGACCCTCTTTTAAGCGTTATTTTGAAATTTATTATCATTTTTGGGTGCAGTCAATTTGCTTTGAATGGGTTTTGAGAAGTTGCAAACTTCAATGTTCTACGTTTTTCAGTTTTTGATCAGCATTCCGTGACTCTTAAATTCAGCTAAATGAACTCAATTGCCTCATTCCTTCAAATTTAATCAATCCATAGTGTAAGGAATAATTTATTTCCAGGAAAAGGCAAACGGCTGATCATTTGTCACGTAGGTAGTGAAGACGGCTTTGTTCCCGAAGCACTGTGGGCCTTTGAATCAAAAAAGACAGGGGACTATCATGAGGAGATGGACGGCAATTCCTTTGAAAATTGGTTCTCCAAAATGTTACTAAAGCTGGAGAATAACGCTGTTATTGTACTGGATAATGCCCCGTACCATTCTAGAAAAATAGAAAAAATTCCCACAATGGCAACTAAAAAAGCAAACATACAACAATGGCTGGCCTCAAAACAGATCGATTTTGATGAAAAAATGGTCAAGGGTGAATTGATAAGTATAGTCAATAGACATAAATACAAATACGATTTTAAAATGATCGACGAAATGGCCAAAAAACAAAATAAAACTGTCTTGAGACTGCCACCCTACCATTGTGAGCTGAACCCTATTGAGCTGATTTGGGCCAACATAAAGCAATACGTGGCGTCGAATACTAATACTTATAAATTTTCTGATGTTAAACATCTCTTTCACATCGCAGTCAATAGAGTTACGGCAGAGGAATGAAAAAACTGTATCCGCCACGTTCGGGAGAAGGTTGAGGTCAAAATGTGGGATTTGGACAATGTCATCGATACCCAAACTGAACCTCTAATAATTCATTTAAACGATTCAGAAGATTCAAGTTCCTCTTCTGAATGAGTGCGCGCAGCTTACTTACTAATAACTAAAAAGTGTAGTTAACTCATTTGTGAATCTCTAACTGAAATTTACTGTAAAAGATAATAATTATCTTGTATGAAATTTTTGATGACTACCCATAATATCTTGATGCGGTCCTGTAATGTCTCCTGCGCCTAAACACTCACTCACGAGCAATATGCGTGTATTTGTTTGGGTTTAGTTTCTTTCTTCAGCGCCTAGAGTATAGGCGGTGTTCCCGCGTACCATGCTATCCGCCGGAGATGTGCGTTGCAATGGTAAAAATTATTTTTGCGATATGAGCTTATTGAGCAGTTTGTGTGAACCAATAATAAAAAAGGAACGTGCTTGTCTAAAATGAAGCGACGGAGTATAATGATTGTTTATTTATGAAAAAGCTTCAGAAAAAATTTGCAATGGTGGAAGGCTATCAGTATTTACAGTAAACGGAAAAATATTTAACAAAAACCAGATTTAATCCTTGGATGATGGATGGCGCCACCCGTTCCATTATTCGGATTTGTGGAACAAATTATACCAGTTTCTTAAAAAAATCTAAACATTAAATGCTATAAACTAATAAATATTCATACGACTTGATTTTGAAATAGGTCAGAATAAATTAATTCAAAAGAGAAAAAAAATGAAACAAATAACAGGTACGGATAGGATTTGAACCACTGACCAAAAAATGCAAAAATGTGTGATTAAGGGATTGTACGCCTCGCGACACTAGGCTACAGACACAGATGCTCAAATTTGCGAAAAGGTCATCATATTCCAATGACGATCCTCCTATGATGATTTATGTGAAAAAGAATAATGTTTCTTGAAACTTACATTAAAATCTTCATGTGTTCTCAAAATGAATTCTATGGTACCATCATAGCATCATTTTAAAGGTATGTTACTGCTATAAAATGTGAAGCGCTAAAGAGATGTTTTCGACTGGTTCTTTAATTTCTTCTATATAAATAAATCAAACAAAAGTAAATATTTTTCCGTTCATTATAATTACTGATAGCCTTCCACCATTACAAATTTATTCTGAAGCTTTTTCGTAAATAAACAATCCTCAATACTCCGTCGCTTTGTTTTTACGATTGCAACACATATCTGATGCAGCTAGCATGGTACGCGGAAACACCGCCTAGGACTTCTCATTACGGAACGCTGAAACCTCTTTCAACAGTGTGCTGGGGGAATTTATATTCAACATTCTCCAGCCGAAATGGCGGCCGTTTTCAACAGTGGCAGAAGAGTTTCATAGCTGAATGTTATTTAAGCTGTGCAAATACTATAACTCTGTTCAAAGTAGATTTCTAAATTCATTTTTGAGTTCTGCTATTGCCTCACAGATGACGCTAGTATCTTTCAGATCGCTTGTTGGAAGCCGAAATACAGTATATGGTTGGCAATCTACACGGTGTTATTCACTTTCTCATAACCAACACCGTTTCTGTGCGAGATTTTGAATATGTACAAATACATAATATTCGTCTTTGTTATAAATCGGGACCCTCACGTTATCTGAAACGAAAAACTTACTGTCGGCATTTTCGCAATAAGGCTGCGTCCTGCCTCCGTTGATGCAGAAATTGACATGTCCTCCTCTGCCTCCCTCCCCGTAATGCCCTGCGTTGGTGTGGAGCACATGAACAGCATTGGCTGCACCACTAGTCAGCCGACTTGAAGGGGGCACCAAAGGACGAGCTGGGTCCAGGCCTACTACTCGGTGCATCCTGAAGACTACACTTTCTGATATCAAACCACATATGTGGGCACCTAGAAAAGAATAATCAAAATTAACTAATAACTACTCGGTCCTTACTTAATTCCACATCACCATCACCTTGCCCATGCGAGAACTTTTACAAGCATGATAAACAGTTATATAACTCTTAAATCTATGGATAATCTTCATGTCCCTTATAAACCGGTACAGCATACTTTGTGTTTTATGATCCACCGCTGACTCCTTTGCGCTAAAGCTGCATTTAGTTTGTTTTATTTTTCTACCCAGTCACTTCTAACATCAAAGTTTAGGTAGCGCTGCATTATTTCAATAGTTTCCCGGTTAAGAGCTTACTCATGTGCCACATCTGCTTACTTAAGAATCTCTTTTGTCGTAAATGTTACTTTGATTTTCTAAATAATCTTATCGGTTCTTTCCCACAATGAATTTCCAATCCTCGAATGGTCATTTATAGGAGACCAGGGGCCTGATTCTAAATCATTTTCGACCGTTGAAATTCATTTCGATGGCACCTGGTGACATTATATTTGATTGATATGAAAATTTTGACACTGCAGATAATTTGAATATATAAATAAATCATAAATAATGTGAAATCAAGAATAATGTGATAAGGCGTCATTGTAATCAATTTCGATGGTAGAAACTCATTTAGAATCAGGCCCCAGATGAGAGCAACTCGTAGCAAAACAACATCATAATATTAATGTGGATGACTGTATATTAGTATCTGATAGTCAGAACTTGCTTATTGGAAATAGGCGAATAATTTAGTAAAATGATCGACTCGCAACAAACGGGAGAAAAGTAATTTTTACAATGGATGAGGCACATACTACATAACGTATATTGCGATTTGCTCAATGTATAACCATTTTTACAAAAATTCTCTGCTATATTTTAATACAGTCTGATTGCTTATATCGGTATAGTCCCACGCAACACTATTTCCTATATACATACAGGGCGACTTCGAAGTTGAGTCAGTTATTTTAACAGTGAGTAGATCTGATCAAAAGAAATGTTTTTTTCCTTTACCATTTTTCTGGTAAAATTAAAGTAACAAAGTTATAGCCCTTTGGAAGTTTGAGTACCGCCCTGTCTCAATAATAATATTATGTGCTCGTGTTTGGCGACAACGGATATAATCCGCCTTATCGGTTCATCGCATCGGAAACAAAAAAGCGAAAGAATTTGGAACGATGTTTTTACAATTATTTCATTCAGTTGTATACAGTCAGTGTCAGTCGGTAGTGTCTGTTGCGTGGCTCAAACGAAATAAAAAATGGCACATGTTTATGCGGATCGGTTTCCCAATCGAGTGCAACCAACCCCTCGTGCCTTTGTTAATGTAGTACAACGGGTTCGTGAATCATTTGACTTAAGACCTCACATATGGACGGCATGCCGGTGCTCCAAGACCTCACGATCAAATACAGGTCCGCACTGAAATACTTGTCGGGAGGATACTTTATAAAACAAGGTAAAATTTTTTTTTATTTTTTTTTATTTTTACACACATACATATTTTGGTTTATCTTCCTTCTACAATCATTATCTGAAAATTAATGACTCAACTTCAAAGTCACCCTGTATATGTGTTTTTTTTTGTTCGCAATGACTTTATTTTTTATAGCCACGCCGTTTGGCGAAATGGCGAAACTTCACCTTTTTTTTCAAGAATCATATGAGATCTGAATAGAATAAAGTGGAACCAAATAAGTTGCCTCAGTACTACCCACACATTACTATTTATACCGTTAAGAGAATCTAATTTTGCAACCTTTTTTCAAATCATTTTGATCAAATGCGGTGCAAATACATTTTAGCTTACGTTGTTAGCGATATATGCAACCATAGAAGGCCTGCCTGGTTTCAGAATTTTCGACAACCAATATTTTTACTATTGGCCTTAATAAACAGAAAGTAGAAAAGCGTCAAATAATAAATTTTTGGTTTTTTAAGTGTTGACCTTTTGTACTATGTTATGTCTTTTCATCTGATTATTTTACGGTGTGTAATAGAGATCACTAAAAAACAATGTTATTAATTTTTTGTTGAAAAATGGATTTTTGTGCATTTTACTGTCCTTTTTATTTCTCCAATCGTAGTTTGCTAACAACAAATATTAGTACAGCTCTGAAATTGTATATCGAAATTCCACTTTTATAGTATCATTGAGTGGGTGATTACTTTTATTCTTATTGCTTTTTCCCTTCGAAAAATCTTTCTTTTTCTTGAAAGCTCATTTTGCAGCAAATAGAGTTTTAAAGAAAAGCAAAGATTTTTTGAAGAGAGAAAGTGATAAGAAAAATATTATCACCCGCTCAATTCTTCCATAAAAGTGGAATATTCACATACAATTTTAGAACTGTACTATTATTTGTTAATAAGTAACGATTGAGAAAAGAAATACATAAAAAATTCACAAAAATGCATTTTTCATAAAAAGAAACTGATAACCATAATATGATTAAGCACTTGAATCTGAACAATGCACAGGTCAACCCAGCTAACAGCACTAAAAATTCAGTCCGATACTGTACCGCATTGTGTGTATCTGCTTCTGACTGAGTCGAGACGTCAACAGCTCCGATTATATTGATGCTCTATGTGCGGAGAGCATGTGCTATCGTGCGTGGGCGTAAAATCCGGTCATCTGACAAATATTGACCAGAATGATCTTACTGGCTTATAATGTTCTTTAACGCAACAACAATGGCCAGATTCATAACCGTAATCACTATAGTGCTACTCTAAGCCCTTGTATAGCGCACATTGCTCCGTGTAAATGTACTAGTGTTGCGCCAGCCTTCAACAAACAGTCCTGTTAACGCACGGAATAGCACAGTCATGTGGTTAGCTACCCTCGGTGAATACACTACCTTTGTCACACATGAACCAAACAGCATATAACGTCAAAGCAATTTGGAAATAAACTTAATATTTAGCTAACATAATCTACTAAGATTACTTGTTTTATTGTCAACGGCACTTATCAAAGAAGCATCTGCGAGGGGGTCAGGAGCGGAGCCAGAGGATCTACCCTCGTATCTTAATACAAATAATACCTAATGAGTGTCCAACACAAGTCAGCTTTTCGGTGGGTAGGCCAGCTGCCCTCAAAGATGTGATCAGATCTCCAGTACATCTAGCGACAGCTTTCATATTGTTTACTGCTGCCCTGTAGCATGGAGGAGGGCTCAAATTGCCCCAGTCTACTACCCAAACGTTGTAGCTGCTGTTCTTTGAATATGCTAGAAAACGATTATTTGTAAATTATCTCAGGTGAAATTACTTTTTTATTTATTGTATAATTGTTAAATAATGTGAAAATGGTGGTGTGTGTTGATATCACGGAGAATTTGACAAATTGTTGGTTATTATGGAAAGTAATACAAAATATAAGAACTATTTAGCATATACAGTTTTTTACTCTTTCTTATGTTCTTTTGAACTGTAGTAGAACAGAATTTTACTTATGTACTGCAACTTTTGCCATTTATAATTTTTGAACAATTTCATTGCTAAAACAGATGACAGACTAACTATACGGTTGCTTTCATGGGAAAATCAGTATCATAAATTCAAATATAATAGGTAACTTTTACCATCTCTCAAAACCACCATAGGTAAAGCGTCATCTCCTCCAGCGTAGCCATGAATCAAAAGTATGTCTTCCTTTGTAGAATCCCATATACTTTGTCTCAGCCAGTCTGTTTGCAAATAATCTACTACCTGCTTCTCTCCATTCGTATAAAGAATGTACCTTGAATGAGGATCAACAAGTTTCATGTTATAGACAAGTACCAAAATGGAAGAGAGTAGCGCGTAATGCATCGTACGCCACTGTTAACGTAGTATGTATTTGGGTACAGTGAAACTGAAAATAGCAACCAATTTCGAACAAATTTAAATTTCAATTACTTACTCGTCGGTGGGGCTGCTGCTAAATGGTGTTTTAGAACGAAAGCGTGGAGGAGAACACTTGTTACGATTATTAAAACAAAAGACGGGACACATTGGGATTGTTGTTAAAGACGGAACACATAACTATGCGCTACAAAGATCTGTCAATAAACCCGAACAGATTAAAAAATTGAAAGAGTAATCGAATTATTAAAAGCTAAAAACTACATTTTGGGGAAAGAAAATTTCATTTATCACCATATACCTGTTGCAGTTTTCTCATCCACGCTTTCGTGCTAAAACACCATTTCGCAACAACCTATCGACGACTCCTGAAGATGACAACTTAGTTTGTCGAAAGCTCAACACTCAGTCAAAAGAGTTCATTATGCTTTAAGCTTTGCCAATTTCCAATAAACAATTTAATTGTATATATATACGAGTATATATAAAGAGAGAGAAAATCATCATGCGGAGAAAGGTATATAACAAAAAAAGGAAAATAATAGGCAAAATCCGCAAAAAGAAAGAAAGTGGATTCGAGCTGAAAATAGGATAGGTAACCCGATCAATACGTATTTCTGCTTGTTGGCTTCATCAGGCCCGAAATTAATGCACATATTCAACCACAAAAGTAGATACACATGCCCATACATCCCGTATGGTATCCCTATTTTTTGTGATATACCTTTCTCCGCATGATCATTTTCCCTTTCTAGATCCTTTGTGCTTGGAATACCACTGCAAGTAGCTATAAATGGCCGCGTGGTTGTGGTTAGTTGTCGCTTTGAAAATTCGAGGTCTTCTAGCCATTTTATACTACAATGTGTAGGTTAGCTCTTGTTAGGGACTTCCCATGATACTATGACTGAGAAGATAAGCCCACGCGCATGCGATCTCTCTCGCACTCGTGACGTCTCGAGAGACATTCATTTTTATATGGGGCTTTAGCTAGTTGTTGATGTTTCGTTTGATTTCTTTGTGATCTGGTGTATTGTAAATAAATTTACATCTAAAATTTAGTGAAAAACAGTTAATTCAGACATTGAACTATGGTGTATTGTGCAGTGGTGGGTTGTAAAAACAACAACAACAAGAAAAGAAGAGACTTTTCAACCTGCAGTTTGCTCCGTTTTCCAAAGGACAAACAAGTTCGCGAAAATGGGTTCTGAAGTCTTATCAACAACACAAATTCAATACGGAAAATGCAAGAATTTGTTCGAAGCATTTTGTGGAAAGCGATTACCGTTTAAAAGAGAAGCTGTTGGGATTACCTGATAATAATGGAAGTTGAAAAGTGATGCAATACCCTCTCTTCATTTGATCAAATCACCCAATACTGAGATTCCTCGCAGTAAAAGAGTGAGAAAAAGGTTAAATAGCAGAAGTACAACATGAAAGCGAGGGAGACGAAGAGAATATTCCTAATAAAACTAGAACTGCATCCACTCAAACAAGGTAAAAAATGGATAAATCATATAATAAATAATTAATCATGAGAAGCAATAAATATATATATATATATATATATATATATATATATATATATATATACAATCAATAAATATCTATTTTATTTAAGTGAATGTTATCTTGCTGAAAGCATCACAAGTCTCGAAGTTGAAATTACAAAGTTGAAACAGTTACTTCAAAAATAAATGGATGTAAACGAAAAAAATTCAAATTTTTTCTCTGAGGGACAACTTTGTAAACTTAAATCTACCAAGCAAATCCAGTGGAGTGTTGGAGATGTAGCTTCAGCTATTTCCTTAATGTAGGTGGTCTCAGGTCATACCGCTTACTCAGAAAAAGGGGGTTACCCTCTTCCTGCAATATCCACTTTGAGAAGATGGGCTAGTAAAATAAATATTCAATTCAACCAGGTATTTCAATAGATACATAGATAGGTATAGATTTGTATTGATCATTTGTCTAGGTATACTTGAAAGCATACTGTGTGTTAACAATTGTGCAGCTATAGTTGCTTCCAAGAAGAGATAAACCATCCGGGCTGCTTTTCATAAATTTTAGAAATTTGAGTACCTATGTAATTTGATGAAAACATTCCGGGTTCTACAACAGTGTGAGTGCAAGATTGAACCAAAAATAAGCCTAATGATTTCGTTTTAGCTATCCCATGTTTAATATCATTTTGTATTCATTTAGCATTGTTTATTGTTTATTAATTCTTATATGTAACTAATATTAACTTAACTTATAACTACTTCAATTTTTCCGGATATACTTAACACAGTACTGACACTGATAAAAGACACAGCTCGGCCAATGATGGAAACAGCATGTGTCCTACTTTTTGATGAAATGAAAATCCAAAGCTGTTATGAATATGATAAGAGGGGTGACAGAACCTTAGGGCCCAGTAAATATGTGTCATGGCTCGTGGAATATGTGGAAGGTGGAGGCAGCCCATATTTTATGGTTACGACAGGAAAATGACAAAGAATATTTTATTTGAGATCATTTCCAAATTAGAAAATATAGGATACTCAGTTTATGCTATTAATTCTGATTTAGAAGATAGTAACAGGGGACTATGGAAGTCCTTCAATATAACAGAAGAAACAACATGGTCCACAAATCCAGTGAGCCAAAAAAGAGTACATGTGTTTGCAGATGCACCACACATGATTAAACTATTGCGAAATCATTTTCTTGGTGATGGTTTTATTATGAACGAAAAGATTATAACGACTAAACCAATTGTAGATTTACTCCAAAATACACAAAATTTAGATTTAATTATTGCACATAAAATCAATACCAATTTCTTAACAGTTAAGGGTGCTCAACGACAAAAAGTTAAATTTGCAACCCAATTGTTCTCACACACAGTATCAAAAGCAATATCAAGGCTGGGGTCATTAGGTATTTTCAAAATTGAAAACAATTGGGTTGAATGCTCAGAGCTAATGAAGATCACCAATGACTGGTTTGACGAATTCAATTCCAGAATACCTCAAAGTGATTTGAGTGTAAAGGAATATGGGTTGGCTTTAGTTGAGCAAAATAAAATTTAAGACTCAATGGAAAAACCAATGCAAAATCTGAGAAAAGTCGGCTCCAAAACGTTGTTACCGTTTCAACGAGGTATTATAATTAGCATACAGTCTTTGAAAAAACTTTTTTTCTGACATGAAAGAAGATTCCGGTATAAAATATAATTTGAATCAGGATCCCTTAGGTTTTTTAACCATTAGAGCAATTGGAGGATTATATGATCACCCCACTGCTCTGCAGTTCAAATATAGACTACGAAATTACATCATGGGACGAACTGATAACATTATTTCCAGATCAGCAAATATTGCTAGCATAGGGGACGTGCGAAATATTGCAATAGCAAGTGTAAGTAATATTTCGGACCTTGATGTGTATGACAATGATGTTGATGACTCTGAAATTATTACTGGACAAATGTTGGAAGTTTTAAATATACCAAATGATGAAGAATATGATCAAAAACATTCTGATGCTGTGAAAAAAATCATTGACCATCATGTTCAAGAACTAGAATGGGATGGATTAGAAAATTTGGCTGGGTATATAGCATATGTATCTGAATATATGTACCTTTATTTTAATTGCTTCAAGCTAAACAATACAATATTTCAGGGTCTGTGCCGTCGGCTTGACCCTGGTGAGATTACGTCCCCATTCCCTACCCTAATGTATGCCCCTGTGCCCCTCCCTCTACTCCTATTCTACGTCGGCTAGCCCTTCTGCGCAGTCGCGGCCCAGCGTTTGCCTTCCGTTGTAACGCCACGAATGCCGCGATGCAGGAGGATCCTCATCCTCAGTACGCTTTATTCCGCGCTAGTGTATGCTCCTATTCTGTACATATTCTTCGCGAGAGTGAATACAGTGCATTATGGTATGGTGGTAAGTCCCCTTTGTTTTGATTTCATTCCCTCTACTCGAAATCATTAATGCCTAAACGGCATGTGAAGTTGTTTTGTTATTTACCTAGCAGACCGACATGTTGTTTGAGTTCATTACTTCAGACATCCTTTATGATTCAGAAACATCAATTTTATTGTTGTGAAGTGACTTGCACCCCCGGTCAATCACTTACATTACCGAGGGTAGTTCGCACCAAGCAGCTATGTACCTCCTTGTAGTTCCTTCTTGCTATATCAGCAGTTTCGGCTCGTTATACGTAACCGTCGGCCTCGACTTTCGAGCCGTCGGCTCAACTAGCTTGAATCAGTCGTCGGCTGGATTCGTGGACCCGACGACTGGAATTACGGAGACGTCGGCCCGATTCTGAGCGGTCGGGTCACTTAACAGGCCGTCGGATTGTTTCGTCGAGCCGTCGGCTCATTTTTGGGCCGACTGATCAAGTTATTAGCTATCACTTCAGAATACCTTGGCTGTAGAGATTCTAACGGGTTGCTGTTTCTTGTCTGCAGGCAGCTCCAGGACCGTCCACTATGACTCTGGGCCAGTTAGCGGATCCGTCGCCAGAAGATCATGGAGACTCGCGGATCCTCAACCGCATTAAACTACTGGCATCGCAACACCTTCCGGATGGTTGGAAGAACTGGAAGGTGGCCATTACAGAAAGAACATCTCTATTTGAGGATCCAATGGATTAATAAGTTGAGATTTGCCCTTCCAACGGTCGGACTAGCACAAGCATTTATCCCGGATTGTAAGAACCTATCGGAGAAAACATATCGGGAAATGAAGGTCCGGATGCTGAATTGGCCTTTTTGTGTCGGTCTGGTTATTGGTCCTCCAGCCTTGGCGTGTCGAATAAGGGGATCTGCAGTTCATCACGAGCTAGTAATGAGCTCTCTGGACTCACTTCGGCCATTGTTCATCTCAAGAAAAGAAGCG